TTGTAAATCTCAACACTGACCCAACATGTTTAATTAATGTGTTGTGTCATGTAGTTGCATCATGTAAGTTTTTGTCTGCTCTATAAATAAAGGATAAGCAAGATATTATTAAAAGTAGCGAAAAATTTTCAAATTTTGGAAATTAGTCACTTACAAAAATCGATCATTTTAGGGAAATGTGTCATTTAAAAACACCAAAGGGCATATTATATTTCCCAATAAGTCTTGTGTAAGGTGGGTATACATTAATTTTATTATAAGACGGTCAGTTTGAAGATAACTTTAATTATTTTTTTGGTAATTTAGCTTTAACCATTTAGAGGGTAACTTTTAATTTGTCGTTGGTTTGAATTTTATTTTAATGTGTAATTTCTTGTAGAGTCATGATTACATACTATAAAGGCTAAAATGATTAATCTAATACATTATAAGTTTTTTATAAGATAAAATTTATTATTAGAAAAATAATAACTTTTGTAGTATAAAGGGTAACTTTAAATAATTTTTTAATAACTTTAACACGTCTTACAATAAATTAACATACACCCGCCTTTTGCAGAATTTGTGTACATTTCCTCCATTTCAAAACATGTAATAGTTTGACTTTTGCTCTATATATTTGTTAACATCGATCTTATCTAATACTCCCTCCGTATTTTATTACTTCCTCCATTTCTCCCAGCACGTATGCTGATGCAAATTTTTAATTTGATCAGTAATGTCTTTAATTATCAATAAGTATAAATTACAACTACTGAAAATTAATAATCATTTCATTGAGACAATTCCAACAAGTACTCATTAAACTATATTTTTTCCTTATGTTTAAATCACAAACATCATTGTAGTTCAAATAAATAGTGAAAAAAGTACAAATGGAGCAAGTAATAAAATACGGAGAGCGTATTCTCTCTCCATTATTTTAAGTGACACACTTGTTAAATTGGTTATTTACAATAGTCATTGGCTGTGTTTGGTTATCAACGCTTTGAGCCAAAAAGTGCGACCAAACCAATCATCTAATTGAGGTGTTTTGGTAAACAATTAACGGGTCACATTAGTTGATTGGCATGAATCAGCTTAATTTGGAAACGCCCTAACCCTAGCGTTTTCAGAATAGCTGATTTGATTATTCTTTTGCATGATTACACAAATGCCCAAAAACCACTGCAACATATCATCCTTCTCCCCAAAAATTAATTAATAAAATTCTATTAATCAGAAACCTATCAAAAAAGGGTAAAAAGATTACCGTAAATTTGTTATTGATCAATAACAAGATATTAAGAAACCATTATTAATGGTAAAAAAAAAAAAAAAAAAAAAAAAAAACCATTGATCTTCGACATGCAGAAGAATTTCTCCATCTTTCATCAAGTTTAACTTTAAAAATAGGTTTACATGTTTTAATTTGAGAGTTTAATTCTTGCTCCAGAATTGAGAATAATTTGCGAGTTTAAACTTTTTAAAATAATTATCCTAAATCTTAACTTAAAATACTACCACCCATCAAAAGTAATACTTGTAGTAAACTAAATTAATAAAAACACTATCAACATGAATTTGTAAATCTTAAGGAACTAATTGTAGTAGTGAATTACAGTAATACACTAATATAGGAATACAGAGATGCTCTTGACAAATTAAATATTTTTAGTGGGATTAACAATTTCTTCGGTTTTATATTCATATATGTCAATGGCCTTATTGGTCATTTTACATAATCAAACGTCTATCAGCTAATAGTAGCTTACCAAACACTTTTATACAATCAGTTAATGCAATAATTTAGTCAAATCAGTTAATATAATCAGCTAGTCAAAATCAACCAAACACGACACGACCATTATTTTTTTCTGTTAAAACCACTATTAGAAATGGGGCTATTTCCGATGGAATACTTCCGATGAACCCAAAATTCCGTCGGAAATTTCGAATTTTCTGACGCAATTTAATCGTCGGAATATTCCGACGGAATGTCGTGTTTCTGATGGAATATCCGTCGGAACGTTTTCGACAGTATTATATTATGTCGGAAATTAGTACTTCCGACGGAATATTCCGTCGGAAGTACTAAGTTCCGACGGAATATAATTTTGTCGGAAAATCTCTTACTAAAAAAAAGGGGGCTCCGGTTCAATGTTAATTCGAAATAGAAAGAGAGAGAGAGGAAGAGAGAGAAAGAGAGACTCGTTCACTGCCGCCCCCTGTGAGTCCTCGGCCGCCACTCAGTAAGTTTCATGAACTTTTGTTTTTTTTATTTTTAATTTTATTCCACTAAACCTTAACCACCACCACCTCTTTTTTCCATCGTTGTGTAGCCTCCATCCTCCTCCCTCGCCACGACCAAAACCACCACCACCTTGCAGCCTACCCCCATTGTGCTGCAAGTAAGCCCCCCCCCCCCCCCTTTAATTTTACTTTTTATTAATTAATTATATATTAATTAAAAAAACAACTACCACCTTGCAGCCACCACGAACGCCTCCTCCACCAAGGTTTTCGGACAGCCACCACCGATGCCTCCTCTACCTTAGTGAGTTCTTTCCCCCTCATATAATATTGACATGTTATGAGAAAGAACGAGTTCATTTGATAAGAAATGTAGAAAATGGGCAAAGTATAAGTCATTTAGGCCTTATTTGAATGAATTTGGATGAAAATGCGTCCTAAAACTTAGCTAAGTGCACCTTTTATGTGATTTCAAGCCATAGCCACCAAAAACTATATAATATTGACATGTTATGGGAAAGAATGAATTCATTTGATAAGAAATGTAGGAAGGGGGAAAAGTAGAAGTCATTTAGGCCTTATTTGAATGAATTTGGATGAAAATGCGTCCTAAAACTTAGTTAAGTGCACCTTTTATGTGATTTCAAGTCTTAGCTACCTAAAACTATGTGATATTGACATGTTATGAGAAAGAATGAGTTCATTTGATAAGAAATGTGGAAAATAGAAAAAGTAGGAGTCATTTTGGCTAAATTTGCTTGAATGTTCAAGAATATGAACCAGAAGAAGGTTGTTGGTAGTTTTTTTTTAAAACATTATTTTTTTCATATCATTTATTTGTTGTAGGAGACATACTAGAAGAAGATTGAAGAAGCAGCAATCAAGGGATTCCGAAGATTTCGAATGAGTTGTACTGGGAGACGGTGGGTGGGCGAAGTAAGAAAGGTCGTGTTAAGGGACTTGGTCAAAGTGCAGAGTTGTACTACAGCAACTGGATGAGTCGAGTTTCCAGTTCTTCACAGCAGTACACGCCGTCGATTGTTTCTCAGATGCATGATCAGTTTGAGCATAGGGTGTAGGCTCTTTGGAGTGAAATGGAAGTTGCGAGATGCAACACCAAATAGAATATCAGATGGCCGAAATGGAGAGGAGAAATAAGGAGATGATGGATGAGTTGATGAGTCCTTTCACCAACTCTGACACATTATCCACCCTTCGTCCTGAGCATCGAGACCCCAGGAACGACTCGGGTATTGGTGGAGCAGGCTAGGGTACGGTACCCCGGCGATTGTGTAGCATAGCTTTTGTTTAGGTGTATTTTGCACATGTAATTACTTCGGATTGTATATTTTGCTTGTACATAATTTATATGTATATTAAAGTATAATTTCATAATTCGATCATGAATTTCTTTTAATCATGAATTAGGTGCAGGTATAGGTGCAAGTTTCTTATGATTATAATTCAAAAAAATCGATTGAAAGGCATCTCACAATTTTCGACAGAATCACCTAACATTTCCGACAGAATTTTCCATCGTAAAAGGAATATATTCCGACGGATTTTAATTCCGTCGGAAAATCACCTACAAAAGCATCGCAATTTTCCAATTGAATTATAATGCGTCCTAAAAATTGACATGTTCCTACGGAATATTCCGTCAAAAAAGGTTATTTCCGACGGATTTTTGCGACGCACTTTCAGTTTTCCCAATTAGTCTCCGACAGAATATGATCTGTCGAAAAATGGGTTTCCAATGAAAAATGTTGAATTTCCAATAAAATATTTTACGACAGAAATTTCCGACGAAATTGCCTATGTTTCTGACGGATTTTTTCCATCATAAAATTGTTGTTTTCATGTAGTGAACAAGCTAGCATTTTAATTTAGCCCTCTCTAATATAAACCTGAAACAGTTTCAGATAATTGTTAATAAGTTTAGGTAAGTTTAGTAAATGTTTATAAATTCAGATGATTTATTAAGTTTAGTAAGTGGTAACTGGAAAGGGTTAAGGGTTTATAATTTAGTAAGTGGTAAGGGTTAAGATTATGTTCTATTTTCTAATTTTCACTTATCTAAACCTGAATGAATTTATGTGGACTTATATGAACTTATTAGACTTTATTAAAATTTATCTTAGATGTAATTTGAACTTGAATATTCCTTGTCAGCCCTTATTAAAACTTATTTTTCCAACTAAAATAAGTTCTAGCAAAGTTTAATATATTCAAATAAGGTAAAGATATTAAAATAGGTAAAAATTAAGTGTGCAGAATGTATATGACTACGGCTGTAGACCTATAGTCATTAGGCTAACTTGTACACGAAAACCTTAATTTAGAACATTGTCGAGTCCACGAAAAATCTAACCTTACAAATTACTTTCTTTATCTCATATTATAGTTCTTGTTTTTCTATTTTGGAGATCCAAAATGTTGTTCATGTTTTTATTTTTGCATAATATGTAAAGACCATTATACCCTCATTTTTTTAATTTTATTAATTGAATTTCCTAATTTACCCTTAAGTTATCCACTTGCCTTGTACTTTTTTCTACTTTCTCTATCTAACTTTTTTCTAAAATTATACTTTTCACTTTTTTCCCTTAAATTATCCATTTACCTTGTACTTTGTCTAGCTTGTTTTCCACTTTTAATGTACCTCATCCACTTTCTCCTTTAATTTCTTAAATACCGTGAAAAAACACAAACAAAAATTATATATTGAGAGTTGAGACAAAGGGAGTAATAAAAAACACAAAATGGCGCCATTTCCAAACCTTTCAAACTTCTAACCAAAATAAAGACTTGGAAAATAAACACACTTTTAAACGTTTTAAAAACTCCGCGCTAATTTCATTTTTCAACCCGCAAAACTCAAAACCTTTACATTTTTATTTTCCCGGACTTCTTCATTATTTCCCCCCCTTTTCCCCTTTCAATTCATTTTCAATCCCTCTAAAATCATAACACCCCCAAATCTTTTCAGTAAACTTTGCTAATTTCTCTCAATCTTCTTCTCTCTCTTCTAACAATGGATGCAAATTTCAATTCTTTACCACCATTAAAACGTTTCAGGCTGCTGCAACAACAAGAACAGCAGCAGCAGCAACAGCTCTGTCAACCGGAGCCCAAACCCGAATCGGAACCGGAACCGAAATCGAAAGCTTTACCATTGTCACCATCCAATCTCCCAGCTAAAAAGAGAAAATATGCCCGAGATTATTTTTTTGATTTCAATGATGAGAAAGAAAATATTCCTCCTTCAATTACCCCTCCTACACCTTACTGTTTACCTGCCAAGAAAAGGATTTGGGCTTTTAAGCCCGAATTCAGCCCGATTAAGTCTCCTCCTCCATCTCTTGCTCTACCCATTGATCTGAATCTGGAGTATGACCCATCTGTTGAATCTAAAATGGAGGGTGAAGATGGAGAAGAGGAATCGGGTCGAGTCGAAATTGAAGTAGAGGGTGATGGAGAAGAGGAGGAAGCCGAGGACGATGATGGGATTCTATGTGTTGTATGTGAAAGCACAGATGGTGATCCATCAGATCCGATTGTGTTCTGTGATGGGTGTGACCTTATGGTGCATTCCAGCTGTTACGGAAACCCTCTCGTTAAGGGTATTCCTGAGGGGGAATGGTTCTGTGCTCAGTGCTCAGACTCAAACTCACGGCCTTTGGCTCATAAATGCTGCCTTTGTCCTGTCACTAAAGGTGCTATGAAGCCTACTAGTGATGGGCGTTGGGCTCACATTGTTTGTGCTTTGTTAGTCCCGGAAGTTTTCTTTGGGGATCCGGAAGGCCGGGATGGGATCGATTGCTCGAAGATTCCTAAGAAGAGGTGGAGGGATAGGTGTTACCTGTGTAAACAAACCAAAGGGTGTGCTATTGAGTGTTCTGAGCCTAAGTGTCCGTTGGCGTTTCATGTAACTTGTGGATTGCAGGAAGATCTGACTATTGAGCTTAAAGAAGGGAAGAATACTGGTGGAATTGTTGCTGGGTTCTGCAAAAAACACACTGAACTATGGAAAAAGGTAATCTTTTTTAACAAATTTTATCTAATGTAATGTTATATAATGTTATTAAGAGGTGAAATGGTTGATTGATGTGTTTTCGCTTTGTTTGATTTTCATTCTTGCAGCAAAAACAAACAGGAATGTTCAAGATTGTGGCCAGAGATGAGGAGTAAAACTTCTGACAGTTCGGGATTGGTAGAAAGATGCTGAATTCTGGGTTTAGCAAATACTCCAGTTTTTTTGTTTAGTTTTCTTGGTTTAATGGTATAAGGGATCAATTGACCTTAGATAGATACTGACCTCGAAGTTAATGTGATCCGAAATACATGCTAATGGATTGTTTTTGTTTACTTCGTATATTCAGTGACAGTACTCTGTCATCGAACAATTGCATGATTTGCATCTGCGATTCAAGTAGAGTATAAAAGATGTTTATTTATGTTTACATCAATTGGATGTGAATTCGTATTTAGTCCTTCAATAATTATGCAACTATACTGATTGTTGAACAATGTTATATATTACATTTAGCACTGCCTCTACTTGTTCAGAACTACTTTTATTTTCGAATCAATTCACCAGTTTGCCTGCAAGTTAAAGAATGATCTTTAACACGCCGCTGACAATGTTATATAGCAGTTGTTGAAGGCTAAAATTCCTAAGCCCTAAGAATGAGATGCGGCACAGGAATACAGAAATTTAGTATCGACAAGTTTTTTTGTTTTTATATTGACAAATAGTATTGACTAGTTAGAAGTGCTATTACTCTGTATTTCACAATCTTAATGCTGAATTCAGTAAGAATATGGTGCAAACAAACTGAAACGCCATTTCCTTCATGTATACTGCAACAGTACTGATATGCAGCTTTATTATATGCAATTACGCCCCTGGTTAATGCATCTCAATTGATACTACTCATTTAAAGCTAAACTTGAAAACAAGAGACATTTTCCATATTTTTCTTCAATCTTACAAACCAAGTAAAAAATGAGAAATTTAGCTGGCTGTACCATATAAAATTTCAAATCCAAAACCATCCGTCTTAATTTACTTGTCTCAATTTCCTTTTAAGTTTGTTCCATTTCATTTTAGATGATAGTAGTAGACGAGTAGTGAACTAGCTCTCAGCGTTTGGTGTTAATTACGAATTACGGAGTTAGATCTGGATCATCTGATGTGGGAGGTGTTCTTTTCTTCTTTTTTCTTTATGCACTTGACTTCTACAAATGTGGGAGAAAACGTAGGGTTTGAATGAATAAAAATATAAGATACAACACGACTCTTCCCAGATTTTGATTGCTTTATTTATTTACTTGTACTAACTTCCTAATTGTATAACAAAGCAGGAAATATTAGCTAAAAAGGATCTAGCATCTACTGAAATCGTACGGCTCAAATGATGTTGACACACTACATAATTCCGGCATCATTAACAATCCATGGAAAGGGAGGTCATAAAACCTCAACCTTCTTGGATAGACAGCCCCAGCACAATGCCTATTAATACAACGGTAAGACCAAAGCTCACTTGTTAGCATTATTCATGTATTCATGACATTCCATACTGAACAGTACCCACGTTTCGATGAGCTGTCATTGCTACAGCTGTAGCGCTAAACTGCGACTGAGCTTGCATTATCTTTGCATCGAGGGCAACTCTGCTACTATATTGGTCTGCCTTGGGCTGAGGGTGATGGTACGGGTTAGTGTTGATGTCAATAGCAACTTCATGGGTTGGCTGTACAGGCAGCTGTTGCTGTTTAGCCCATGAAATGTGGCCTTGTTCGTTTCCTGGCCCAGGTCCCGGCTTGGATTGGGCTGGCTGGATGTTGGGCCTGATGTAATACTGTGGTGAGGCTGTCTGTGGTGGTATTACTGCATTTTGCAAAGAAACTCTAGCATCGTAGCCATCCTTCATGCTTCTGCCAGACTCGTATGCAACAGGTCCTACAACCCTTCCTGGTCTTGCTGCTGAAACACAAGACAAAAACATAATAGAGGGTTCAATAATATGATATGACAACAGCCTAATCTCATTTAGATCATATACTGATATACAAAAGCACAATACATTTTCAGCCTCAACCATCCGTCCTTATATCCAAGGTCACATCTGATTGATAATTATTTTAACTTTTTGAGCCGAGAGAAAAATAAACAATAATATTAAATAAATAAAAACCATAACTTCACTATTCAAAATTTCAGCACATTATTAGTCTATCCTGAACACTTTAGTTCATGCTGTCATTACATATAACATGGGCGTTGCTAGTTGTAGAAAGAGGCTTAATAGACGGTTTATAAAGGTGGCCAATAAGAAAAAGTCGAGCAGCTTCATGAACTCGTACCCATTTTTAAAGAACTAAATTAGAACTCGATGTGCACAATAAGGACACCAAATCTAACATGAGATGGCATGACAATTCAGATCAAATCACTAACTACTAAATAAAAAGGCAGAAACATGTAACCATTAGGCACACAACAAAGCAATTGTTGAAGCCATTTGACATCGATTTATGGATCAGATGAACAATCAGAAGATTTTTAAAGTCCATGTTCAATATTTCCTCTGATGACATGATGATATCAGAACAATGCTACTGATAGATAACAGACCAATAAAAGAGCTACCATCAACACTCAGTAGATGCATGAAAGATACCTGGCGGGACTCTTGGTGGCTGTCTTATAGAGCTTGATAAGTTTCCATAACTTTCAGATGGTCTCATCTCCTCTTTAGCTTGATGGTCCTTGTGTGAAGATGCCAATGGCTTGGGAGGTATGGTACTAGAGTGTACCGTGGACCTGAAAGATGAAGAGGTCAGGAACATGTAAAATGTATTTATCAAACATCACCATGGGAAGAGAGCTGTAGCTGTACCTTGGAAGGGAAATATGTTTTCTCTCCAAGGGAATGACTGGTCCGCTTCGACCAGCATTTTCTTCAAGATGCGCAAACTGCTTTTTAAACTGACCAATAGCACTGCATAAACAAACCAGTTGAATAATAAGCAATAGCTAAAACGTTATTGCCAAGAGTAGAAACCAGAACATTAGTCAAGATCATCTCACCTAGGATAGATATAATTACTCCCCTCATTTCCATTCATGTAGTCTTTGAGCAACTGAGGATGGTATTCAAGGATCTCTCGGTAAATCAGTTCCCTAACATCCTCCTTAGTCACCCGTCGCCTCTCAAACTCAAACTCTAATTTTGAGATTGGCTGACATGCAGGCTCTCTCTCCACTCTGGATAGGCCTTTGAAGTATGGATCAGCTAGTGCCTGATAAAAAACAGATTCTCAATATCAACAGGACTATAATTATTGTGATTTTAAGTTTACAAAGAGTTTAGGGCACAGCTTGACTGCAAATTGTAGAATATTCATATCAAATACTCAGCAAACAAGTTATTTTACAGTGAAACAGAAAACTAAGGTCCTGATATGGTACCAACCTCTTCAGCAGTCGGTCTGTCCTTTGGATCAAAAGATAACAGTCTTTGTAGCAAACGCAATCCTAAGGGATCCGCATTTGGAAATTTTTGAGAGAAAGGAACAGGCTGCTTTTTCCTCATATCGGTCAAGTATTTGCGAGCCTTGTCGTTGCGGACCTGAATTCGCATAAAATTTTAGGATCATGACTAATTATGTAATGTATAGAACAAATAAGGTTAATCACATCTGAGATGAAATAGAAAATCATACCCCAGATATAACATCATGTGATGGTGTACCCAGAAGATCTGTGATTATATCTAACTGATGAACTACGCTTTTACCCGGAAACAACGGTTTTCCAGTCAATACCTCAGCAAAGATGCAACCAATGCTCCAAATATCTATGGCTGGAGTATACTGCACAAGGCAAAGTCAGTAGTCAGACCAAATATCAAAATTAATGCATGTGACTCCAAGCAAACCGCTTCAGTAAACGGTCACAAGACTAGACACTATTACCTGAAGGACAAGATAATATCAACTTCCAGGTGAGATCAATAATCCTCCCTGAACAAGAATTATTTTGATCTACGTATTACTATTACTTTAAAATACTAATAATACAATTATATTATTGAAATGCAGCACATGTAAAAATACAATTCATAATTGAATTAAGTTTGGTAAGCCAGAAACAAGGACAAAAGATACGAAAATGAATTACAAACAGAATGATAAAACAGGCGAAAGGTGAACAGGCCGCATTTATAAACCCACTAATCTAAGATAGGTTGCTCTATATTACAAGCTGTCACTGACTTTGGGATTACCATTTGTCTTCAAATATTTTACAGTAGTATAGTATAATATGAGTAACTGTAAAATGTAGCCTATATAGGTGCACCTAAAACATACACAAAATTTTGACAACATTGTCTATTTTCCTAATGGGGTTCAATCAAACAATTGACCAAGTCCATTAGCCCATCCTGGTATTTTGGTAAACAAATAAAGGAATTAGCTATCAGGAAAACTAAGCTTGATACCTCAAATCCTCTTAATCTTATTGATTATCCAAATTAGTTTAAGACATTAAATTCTCTAACAGATCCTACGAGCTGGATAGCATTACTAAGATCAGCTAATTATAGTAAAATAAACAAAAAGGGTTTATTTTTAGTTTGAAAATGTAATATAATTATTCTATAGGGTCAAACCCGCAAACACTACTAAACACTTTCTATCCCAAAATCCTAAAAACAAGCCACGAGGAAAAAAGAATGAAACTCGTTGGTTTCCAAACTTATATAGGTCATGTATGAAACAACTACCATAATACCTAGCTCATCCCTACCCTACGTCAAGGCTTACTGGCTAATCTACTAACACAAGTATAACACTACTACACTGTAAGCAAATAGAATGCCAAAAAATACTCAAATAAAACAATTGGTACAGGTTAATATTAATACATCAGCGGAGACCACAACCCGGATATTAAGTTCAAAGGACACCATGTCAAGGAATAGTACAAAAATAGACTATAGGAATCAGGATAGTAGTATGAAATGAGTTGTACAAGGAACTAAGCAACCACAAAATTTCATTTGTATCATCTTGTATGATAAGCACACATACCTTAGAGAAAAATGATCCACAAAGTTCTGGCGCCCTATACCATCTTGTAGCAACATAATCCTGTAAATGGTACAGATAAGCATACAGCAAATGATTGTCAGCAAAATGAGAGGGATTTCATTCACCAATATAAGTAAATAAGAATGTCTTTAGGTGAAAGATGTACCGTCCAAAATATAGTAGTAGGAGTGTCATTGAATGCTACTCTAGCCAAACCAAAGTCGCAAATTTTGAGTTTGCAATTGGCATTAGCCAGTATGTTCTTGGGCTTAAGATCTCGGTGGTAGACATTAGCTGCAACAATCAAATACAAGTGAATATACTCAAAATCATGCTCACAAAAGCTAATAAAAATGTC